GAATTTTTTATCATATTTTTTACTCGATTTTTCATCACACTGAGAGAGATTTTTAATCACATAGATTTATTAAAAATTAAAATAAATATGTAGAAAAGGTTAGAAAAAATTAAAAAAATATAACATGATAAAAATATTACAAAAATTAATTTTATCCAACAAAACAATTAATTTCTCACTGAAAATTAATTGAATTTTAACTAATTTATATTAAATAGTTAAATCTCAACTAAAAAATATAAAATAATATATTTTTTAAGATCTTTGAAATTTCGTTGATTGAAATAAATTTATATACAAATCGATTAAAATTAGTGTGATATAATTATATTCATACTTTATATTTAATCTAAAACAAGTTATTTGAAAACGTTTTCAGTAAAAGTTATTTAAAATAGTTCTTAATTACAAATATTATTTTATTGTGAGCATCGTATTCGAGATATTTAACATCAGTAAGTATATATATATATATATATATATATATATATATATATATATATATATATATATATATATATATATATATATATATATATATATATATATATTAAATAGTTCTAACATGTAATTCTAATATTGAGATTCATCTTAAAATTCTAAAAACTTGTCGAAAGAAATAACTATCGTGTAACGCTCAAATATAAAATTTGTATAAGGCAAGCCGTGATAATTTTTTAAAGCTATTCTCAATTTTTTTTTATTTTAATTGTGTGTAGTCATAGTTTATGATTAAAAACCTTTCACTTGTTTATAAAAATGATATTTTAATAAATGTTTTAAACATTACTTTTTTTATTATCATAAAGTATTAAATTTTATGTTTACATTTCTCACCAACTTAGGCTATAAAAGTTAAATTAATGTATATTGTCTTTATAATTATATAGTTGAATTTACATAAATAATTTAAACATTTGTTCCATTATTATCTAATAATTAACATTTAATCATATTTTAAATACACTAGTTACATATATTTTTGCTAATTACTGTTATTCCATTTAATTAATTAACCATCAAAATAAAGTAACATGATAAAACATCAATTAATTTTCATTTACATAAAAATGAATACATTTAATACTTTTTTACGGTTGGATAGGTAAACTTACATTCTAAAGTAAGTTAGTAATTGATAATAAGTACAACAATTATGATTTTAATTAGTCATGTTGTTCCATTAAAAGTCAGAGATTAATTAATGCTAACGTATTTGCAGTTTTTAAAGAATTTGCTTTATCAATTGATAAACATTATTCATTGGTATAATGTTTAAAATGATAATTATTATTACAAAATTAATGAATTTATTATATTATATTTTATAATTAAATGATAATAGAAATTTTTTCATTAATTAATTTCTTAAATAATATATTTAAAACAAAATATTATTTAAACAAAATATATGTAAGTTTATTTATCAAATAAATTTGTCCATACATAAAATTTAATAAGAAGAAATAAATTTCTTTAATATAATATATGTATTTCCCTCTCTTTTTTATTTATCTTTTTACTTTTCTATCTCTTTATCTACTTGTTATTCTTTTTCTTTTTTTTTTTCTGTTCTCTTATTTGTTTTCTTTATTCTATCCGTTCTTCTATCACTCCTCTTATTCTTTTAATTAAAAATATTAAATTAAAATTTGATTAAATAAGTTTTTTATTATTTTTTTAAATAAAAAATATTTAAATTATCCAAAAATATTATATTTTAATATATTATACTATAAATTTGAAGTGTTAAAAATTATCATGTTATAATTATTAAGAAAAAATTAAATATTTATTTTAAAATAATATTTTAATTTTTTTAAAATTACTTAATCAGAATAATCTTTATAATTCAACCTAATCAAATTATTAAATTAAAAATATATTTAACTCATAAATATTTGATATTTTTTAATTAAATGTATAATTTATTTATTATAATAAAATAATTTAAAATTAGTTATTTACATAAATAAAATTATTTATTATCATAATAAATAAAATAATTTATTATTATTATAATTTTAAATAATTAGTTAATATTTTTTATTTTAATATTAATTTTTAAAAATTATATTAACACAATTTTATTAAATTTTAATATATTAGTTTTAATTAAAATAATAAATAAAAGAAAAGAGAGAAAAACAAGAGACATAAGATACAAATAAGAGAAACAAAAAGTGAATAAGGAAAAAAGAAGTGTATATGAACACTGAATAGTCTATTTGACTAAATAAATTAATAAAATATTTATTTGAATATTTTTTTAATATATTATTTATAGAATTTATTATACAATAATATATAATATAAATCTAATTACAATTTTTACCCCTCTACATCTTAACCATTCAGTTTTTTTTCTTGCATATTTTACTTTCTTGTTTTTCAAACTTTTGCATATTTTATTTTTAAAAAACATAACAAGGTGTCCACATGTTGTTTTAAATATAAAAAATTTACAAAATTGAATTTTTATTACTAGTATAGTGATAAATTGTGAAAAAAATGATTTTTTAAAAATAATTAAATATATTAGAATTCAAAATATGAAAGCTTGATGATAAATTATAAAAAAAACTTTGAAGATAAAGTTTATAAAATGGTAATAATTTAGCAGTAACTTATAACATCAAGACAATAATAATCTATCTTATCTAAAAGTTATGTTTACTTTTTAAATGATTATTATAAAAATTAAATATGTATTTTATAACAAGTTAAAATAAATTTAAGTAAATTTATTTATACATAGCATTAAAAATGCAATTTTTTTTGTTTTTCTTAAGATGCAACTTCACAAAAAGATGATAGGATGAAGAAAAAAATGATATTTAAAAAACACAAAATTTATGTAAAAATTATCTAAAAATAAATACTCATTAAGGATCACTTTATTTTTAATCACAAACAAATGAATTTAATATATAAAACTTCTTTAGTGTAAAGGTTTGTAATGTTAGGACAGTCTCTAGAGAAATGTCCTGGTTGGTTACAAGCGAAACATTTCAAAGTTTGCTTGTATGTTTTAGAGTTTGGCGCCAAGCGCTAGCCACTTTGCTAAAAGCTTAAGCTAGTAGTAAGGGTTCACACTTTAGCACTTAGCCCCTGGTCCCACCACGCTTCCGCGACTCTGATTCCCCCGCTCTTCGGGAATCTCGTGGGGACTTACCACCCGTTGCCCCAATTCCGTCCTCAGCAGGAATCGAGCACGCGACCTCGCTCCGATACCAAGAGTTTGGCGCCAAGCGCTAGCCACTTTGCTAAAAGCTTAAACTAGTAGTAAGGGTTCACACTTTAGCACTTAGCCCCTGGTCAAGAAATTAAAACTGATAGTATCATTAATTCTATAAATGATTTAAAAAAAAAATATTTACATGAAGGCAGTTACTATACTATTTAAAAATTTTATTTTTGTATCCAAATTCATTTCTACTCCCACCTCTGAACAAGTTTACTTTCTCTTTTTGACCTCAACTCAACCCTTCCTGTCTACCCTCTTTCTCTTTCTTTGTGCTCTTCTGTCTCTTCTGCTTTTGCAATGAATGCAGCACCACCACCCTCATCTTCCACATTACCTTTCCTTATTAATACTCAAATGCTCTCTCTATCTTTCCCTTCTTCTTCTCTCTCTCACTCCATTTTTCCTCTTCCTCTTCTCTCATCTTGACAACATCAACTTTCTCTATGCATTCTCGCAAAGGTGACGAATCTTTTACTTCTACCATTTCCTCACTTTTCAACTCTTAAATTCACCACTTTCCTTCATTACTTGTTCAGTTGCAGTTGTTTAGCTACTGGGCATGACTTTGTTTTCTTGCTTGCTCAGTTTATCTTGCAGTGGAGGATCTGCATCTCTGCATGCTTAGTTTTCTCTGTTTATGTATATATTTTACCCTTTCGGTTTTAGGTTCTGTCTTCTGGCTGAGTTTTTAACAAGGCAGATGGTTAAAGTGCTTTTGTTTCTCTCTCTTTGGTCATGAGGTTTTCAGTTTTGTTACTTACTCTCACAGTCACTCACTTTTTTGTGAATGTTACCACTACCTGCAGAACTTCGTTCAGATTCTTGGAGTTCCTCAAAATTCAGGACAATTTTCATTCTTTTTCATCTTGCATACTTTCAGTGTTGTCACGTCAGATGGGATTTTTTTTTTTTTAACCTTTTTATTTTTTCCATGCCAAATTCATCTCTTTCCTACTCATATTTGGGTTGGTTACTCACATTTCTCTGATTTCCTCTGGTACGTTGTTTTATTTATTTTTGGTTGGGTTTGACCCTTATTTTTTCACGGGGACAATTAGTCATTTGATAATTTTTTATTGTTTTTTATTGGGGGTATACATGAATATGATAATTACGTAACTTTTACTTGATTTTCTATGCTCTTTTTTGGTCTCTCTTTGATTCTTTGTTGACAAGATCGTAGTCTGTTTCGTCTTTTTCTGCTTTTGGGGTTTTCACTTTATCTCTTCTCGTATTTCTGTGTAGTGGGAAACCAGACTTTTTTGTATAGTTGTACTAATTTTCTTGCTTTATATTCACTTTTCCATTTTCTCTCTCTGAACTGTCCACTGCCTCATTTACTAAGTTTTTGCTCAGTGGTTGCATAGGTAAAGGAAGAAAAAAGCATGTCAATGCATTCGTTCTTGTTTATTCATTCCCTTTCAGATTTGTGAGTTCAAGTACATTAATTGTGTGTCTCTACTTCTTAGATGTTCTTGTTTTTCTTTTGCTTTTGGTGGTTTTAGCTATAAAGCTTTTTCTATTTAAATAATGTTCTACAATTTTTTTGTTACTTTCTTGTTCTGGGGTTGTTTTGAGTTTGTGAAAGTGAAAAAGGCTAGAGAGAACCTTTTTATATGCTGCTGCAAGAAACTTAATCCAAAATATTCGTGCAATTGGAGATTACTAGCCTTGATATTTATTTGATCTAACAATTATCTATGTTCAGTGAGAAGAAAAGTACAGAAATTTTGGGGTCTTAACCGTTTGAAAGATGAAAATTGGACATGGTTTATCGTGTTCTGCTTTTGTGTTCTTGGTTTGGTTCAGTTTTTAATGCGAAGTTTCTGGATTAAATTATTTTAAATTCTCCATTTTGATGCTATCAATGTTGGGACAGGCTTTTTAGTATATTCTATTCCTTCTTCACATGTTGGGATGTTTTTATATTTGTACAATAACTTGTTTCGCTGAGATATCTTTCTTCTTTTTTCCTTTAGTTTGTTGCAATGGCTAGATTTTAAAAGACGCTATATTAATTATTACAGACACCTATTTTCTTGTGTTTCAGCTTGTTTCATTATCCATTCAAGCAGTTTCCAGCATGTTTTGAATTTGATTGTTAAGGAAAAGACCCTATTTTTCTGAGTTGTAAAGTGGTTTAGATTTTGAGCTGAGAGAATATTGGGAATCAGGATTGTGTGCTTAGTTGACCAGACTTGCTATCTCAGCAATTGATGTGAGATCTAGAGTGAAAAAGGGAACAACTTGACCTTATATTCATCAGATGTCAGCATTCTGGAGTTGAGCAAATGGGTTGTTGTGTCTCAACAAGCAGTAGGAGTACTTGTAGCAGCAAGAGCAATGGAGACACGGTCTCTCCATCTTGCTTAGAAATTGGATTCTGTGGGCAAAAGAGAACAAGAAGAACATTCTCTGATCATGTTATTTCTCTCCACCATTTACCATCCTTACCTAGCAGAATTTTCACTAATGGAAAGAGCCGGGGTTCCTGCATCTTTACGCAGCAGGGCCGCAAGGGTATTAATCAGGATGCCATGATTGTGTGGGAAGTAAGTATGTTCATCCTGTTTCATGTTGAGCTGAGATTAATTTTGGAGAAGTAGTTTTATTTTGTTTCAAAATGTCAAAATAGGCAATTATTAATTGAAAATAAGCTTAAAATAACCATTTTACTGAAGATGATGCATGACTCATTGATTTAAAAGAGACTGTTAATTTTAGACACGGAATCCTATTTCGGATCTGTATTTGTGCAGGATTTCATGTCTGAAGATATGATCTTTTGTGGTGTTTTCGATGGTCATGGTCCGCATGGTCATCTTGTTGCACGCAAAGTTAGGGATGCCTTACCGATTAAACTGCTATCATTTTTGCATTCTTCTGAATCAAAGCGAAATGGTTCAGGTAAAACTTGGTTCAAAGGGAATGTAAAACCTGATAGTGTAGAATTTGAGAAGGATTGCTCCACAGAGGATAAAATGAACTCTATGTGGAGAGAAGCTTTCATGAAGGCATACAAGGCTATGGACAAAGAACTCAGGTCTCATCCAAATCTGGATTGCTTCTGTAGTGGGAGCACTGCTGTGACTATAGTGAAGCAGGTAGTAAAAGAGCAACAACATCTACTCTTATGTCTATTTCCCATTATTTTTCAGTTTTCTTAATTTCTTATCTTACCAGGGTTCCAATCTGTTCATGGGCTATATTGGGGATTCTCGGGCAATCATGGGATCCAAGGATAGCAATGACTCCATGGTGGCTATTCAGTTGACTGTTGATTTGAAGCCTGATTTGCCAAGTGTGTCATATGCCATCATCATTTATCCTCTTCTCTGCTGAATATATGCTATTGTCTAGATTTAACTCAATTCAAAATTGGTTGGAAATTCTTATAGGGGAAGCAGAAAGAATTAAGCGCTGCAAAGGCAGGGTATTTGCTTTGCAAGATGAGCCTGAAGTGCCTAGAGTGTGGTTGCCCTTTGATGATGCACCAGGATTAGCAATGGCCAGAGCATTTGGAGACTTCTGCTTGAAGGAGTATGGTGTGATTTCTATCCCTGAATTTTCTCATCGGCAGCTTACAGACAGAGATCAATTCATTGTTCTTGCCTCAGACGGGGTAAGAATTTTCATTCTCATTTCCATTTCTTTGTTTTTTCCCTTGAATTTTACTTTTCTATTTCAGAAACTGTTTTATTACCACTTATCCCTATTTTACTAGGAAATTTCAACAAATATAATTGCCATTTTGAAGTTAGTTTCTTTTGGTTAGTTGGGCATTTGTGATTGCCATGAATAAACTATCTTACCTGGTCAAGCATTGATAGTGAAAGAAATAGGGATCGGTGATATGAAGGAAAGTGTGATGTGACTTTTGGAAACCAGCCATTCAGTAGAATGGAGTTTTTAACAATACTGACAGATCTAATAACTTGTTTGGCCAGTTGTCAGTTAGCAGTACAGTTTAACAGTTGGATTACCTAGCCTCTTGACCACTCAAGATGTAAAATTTACACAAACTTAAGTTTGAAATGAGAAGCTTTCTTCAACTTGAAGAAATAACTAGTCAAAATATCTGTTCTTAGTTCTATTTCCCTGCATTTTACCATTCTTAATTCTCTTTGTTTTGGGAAATACTTTCTTTGAGCAATGCATAGGTTTGCAGTTTAACACTCAAAAGTCTTGTAAAAAACTTCCATTAGAGCATGTTATTGAAGTTCTTAACAATAACAAACAATATTCAATACCAACAGCTATCTTCATGATACCATTTTCAATATTTCAATAACTTTAATTGAAGTGGACATAATAAACCAAAGGGCAATTTGCACTTTCCTCCCCTGAAGTCATGTTAAATAACACTCGCATCCTCTCTTGGTTTAAAATAGACACTTACTTCCTGTTTTAAGAAAAATTGACACTCAAACTCTTCTAGCTTTTTAAATAAGCATTCATCCCTTTTATGTTTCTAATAAATGATACTCACATCTCTCTCTTATCTTTTTTTACAAGGTGATACTCAAATTCCTTATTTTATTTAAAACTAATATATTAAATAAAATTTTAATATACAAATTATGAATGTTAAAAAAATAAAGTTATAGGGTATAAAAATTAAATTTTAATATCATAAAAAATGTATTATGACTAAATTATAAATTATCTTACAAAAATATAAAATGTTGTATTTTTAGGAAATTATATTTTGTTTTTTTAAATAAAATTAAAAAAATGAAATGATTTTATTTTTAGTTTATGAATTGCTATGTGTGTAAGGTATCATAATTGTTTATAAAATGATGCCTTTCACACACAAACATAATTTTCATAAATTTGTATTTAAATTTTAGTCTATATGATACTTTTTTAAAATATAAGGGAGGTTGTGCTATTTAGTAAAAGTATAAGAAAGTTGCATGTGAGTTATTAAAAAAAATGAGATAGTTGAGTGTTTGATGGTTTATTTTAACTAGGGAAAGTGAGTTTCATTTAGCCATATCTTAATATCTTAAGGGAGCTAGGTGCAATTTATTCTAAAGTATAAAAGGTGTGAGTTCTTATTAAGTTTCATGATTGAAGTAAAACTTGTAAAATAGTGAGTCACTTGATGATGCATAGTGGAATCCATTTAAAGTGGAATAATACCCCTAGTGAGTTTCTTCTAAGATGCATGCACTGTAGATACTCTTGTATTCTTTTCATTTGTGAGATAAATATGTTTTTAGCATTGAATTAGCTCATGGCTGATTGTTTTTCAAGCACTTTCACAGTTCATAAATCTATCATGTGTAGGTCTGTGTGTGAAAGGCAGCAGAATTGTTAACTGGACTTCAGTCAAACACAACCATTATAGTTTTTTTCTCTCTATATAATAATGCTATTCCTTCTAATCTGGTAAGGCCAATAGTCAATAAAATATCTATACTCTCATTGAGAGTCAGCCAACTCGAGAAGGGCTACTTACGGAGGGTTCTGACCGTCGGAGGGTTCTGACCACTGGAGGTAAGAAGGCCGAGTAAAGTGTCAGGTCGGTGAGTGCAGCTATCGAGGACGCTGGCTTTCGAATGGGGTGGTATTGTAACAAGTCCCACATTGGGGAGGTCTCCTTAGCAGGGAGGCCTTATAAGGTTCTCCAACCTCTTGAACTAGCTTTTGAGGGATGGTTCCCCTCCTAGCCTTATGGTTGTTACAAAATAAGAAAAGTAGACATTTTGCAATGTACAATATATGGCAAGAAAATTTGCTGTTGCGTGATTTTATCATCAAAAAACCATAGCATTATACTTACACATTGATTACTGAATAAAACTGTATATTTCATTACTGGATAAGATTCTTAGGGCACATTATTAATTGTGAACCTTCCATCTTCTCCAGATGGTAACTAATTGTCTTTAAACTTTGTGCAGGTGTGGGATGTTTTAAGCAATGAGGAGGTGGTTGAGATAGTATCTTCAGCACCAACACGATCATCGGCAGCAAGGATTCTGGTAGATTCTGCTGCCAGGGAGTGGAAACTTAAATACCCTACTTCAAAGATGGACGACTGTGCTGTAGTATGCTTATTTTTGGATGGGAAAATGGACTCAGAATCTGATTATGATGAACAAGGCTTTTCTTCTGCAACCATCCATAGCAATCATTCGGGTAACCCCATTGAGTCAGATGATGGACAAAAGTCTGAGCCATCATTGCAGAGGAACTTCACTGTGAGATCCTCAGAAGAAAATGAGACTAATGGAGTACTAAATGTTGATGTTGAAGATGGAACATCAGCTGATGATCAAAACTGGTCAGGTTTGGAAGGGGTCACTCGTGTAAACTCACTTGTCCAACTTCCTAGATTTTCCGAGGAAAGGCCAGACTCTTGAATTTATTTGTTGGTTTCATGGGTACTGTTTATTGTAAACTTGGCACAGCACTGAATCCAAGAAAGAGAAATTTTCTGCAAGGGTATCATTTTGATGATGCTCTTTGGTTGGCTAATCACTCTTGTAGAAAACAATTCGGTGTTGTTGAACTCACTTTTGATGAGTCATACATTGCGACATGGGGTTTCAGAACTGCTAATAACTTTGTTCTTATAATCAATAACTCCTACAACAATTGTTCTACCAGTGAAACTGTACACAACAATTAGTTCCTAGATAAAGAACTTGATAATTTTTTCAGAGGATGTATTGAGCTTAAGGTCACAAAAAATAAGTGAGTTCAGCATGATGGTAGTAAACGTTAATAACGTTGGACGATTATTGAGATATATTCTTGCTCCATGCCTAAGATATTCCAGCAAATCTTGGTTAAAAATGGTATCATACATAAACAGGATTCAAGCTGTGACATTTGTGTTGCCAGCTAATTAATGATAACTGGGGCAACCTTTGAGAGTCATGATTGTCAATAAATTATTGAGGCAACACTTGAGAGTTATGATTGAAGTCTCATACACTGAACCATGACCAATGATGATTGGCCTAAAAAACTGCACTATGGTCATCATTTATATAGGGAGAGTGTGACTGGGAGGAGATTAACGTAAAAGTAACGTATTACAATACGAACAATTCTAATGGAATGATTCCGACAGTGATGAGATGAGTGCGACCGAGCTGTGTTGTTAAATTTGAAGTCAGCTTACTCGGATTCTGCCTGCCATTAGTTGTGATGTGGTCTAAGCAACTCCAATCATCAAAATTTACACCTTTTATAGTACAGAAAATATCTTCCACTTTCCCATTTTGCTTACATTATATAACTATAAATTACATAAATATTCTTAACATTTTCTCACATTACACTTTTTAGTTTCTTTTAAATTCTACTCAACTCTCTTATTTCCTTTTAAAATTCTACAGTTTATATATATATATATATATATATATATATATATATATATATATATATATATATATCTTAAAATTTTAAAACATTATAATATATCTCCTAAAATTTTAAAGATATTATATATTATTTTTTCAAATCATGCCCCTATCAAATTATATCATTGTAATGATTAAATAAATAAATAAAAAGTATGGGTAAAATCTAATGAAGTCATATCTAAATTTCCTCTTATGTTAACATTTTTAAAATTAGATATATGAAGATACTTAGCCCAGCTCAATTTTTAAAAATTTAACTATGGTTAGATCGATAATATTATTACTGTAATAATAATTAAGTAAAGTTAAATAATATAATATCATAATTTATAATACTAAAAATAAAATATGCATTTATAAGCTTGTACGATACCTAAAAAAATTAAAATAAATATATGCTATCATATTTAAATTAAAATCTTTGATATTAATAATAGTACATGCTTTAATTGTGTTCTTAGTCCGAAAATTTAGGATAATTTTTTTATTCCCTTAAATTAAAAAATATTTTAATTCCTCAAATTTAATAAAATATAATTTTAGCTCCTCAAATTTAATAAAATATAATTTTAGTCCCTAAATTTTGGGATAAATAATTTTTTAATCCCTCAAATTAAAAAAAAACTAATTTTAATCCCCAAATATTAAATTTGAAGGATTAAAAACAATGTTAAAAAAATCATTTTAATTCTTCAAATTTATTGATTTTTCTTTAATTTTGAGGGGATTTTTTTTGTTTAAATTAAGACACTAAAAATCAAAATTACTCTAAAATTCAATGACTAAAAAATATAATTGAGTCATAATAAACTTATGCATGAAATAAAAGAAGATAACAAATATTTTAAGCTTTTCTATTTAAAAGAAAAAAAGTAAAATAATATATTTCTAAAAATATTTTTATTTCACGAGTCTAAATTGGTTTGATTACTTATAATTTTTTTTTTTTAGTTTTTGTGGAGATTTTTCCTTAAACTGATGTGGTTCTTTGAACCGTTTATTATCTCCAATTTTCAAAATATAACATTACATTATTATCTTCATATTACCAAGATAAATCAATACTTCTTATTTTTAATATATAACGTATCCATATTAAAAAAACTTAGAACATATCCTATATTTAAGTGAAAAAAGGTTTATTTTATAAGTGTTGTACTAGAATTTATTTAAGTAATAACGACAGTTACTAAAAATTTTAGTAAAGTTACTTTTACAAGCAGCAACCTTATTTAATAAGAAGAAGGAGAAGTAAATGACAAAAATTATCTTACAATTTTTTTAATTATTCTTAATTAATTTAGTAACCAACTTCTCAAATTATATTTATTAAAAGAGTTTTTTTTAAATATTTTTATGTCAGTTTTAAACAAAAATAATAACGATAGAATTATTATTCTTTTACTTTATTCACAAAATAACAATAATATTTCTTAAGTTAATGTAAAATTCCTTAGATTAAGGTTTTAAACTTATAGACTAATTAAGTTCAATATTTCTTTTTTACTTTTCTTGTAAAATTCAAATTTATAATAAAATATTTTTAGCATTGCAATTTTTATGAATAACATGACCAATTTGTTAAAATATAATTAATATAGATTGAAAACAAAATTGAACAATTTTAATTTTGAAAAAAATTGTTAAGCAACGTTTATTTTATTAGTTATGTATTAAAATAGTCAACTGTTAAAGAATAAAGGAATGAGTGTGATCCATGCAATTTTTTTAAAACTGCAGAGGATCTTAATCCTAAAGATAATAAACAATCTTAATTTATTTCGCTAGAATTTCGTTCGATAATATTAATTTTAAAAATAAATCATGATTATCAATACCAAAATACTTACCAAATCCCATAAACTTCATGATAATATATACTAATTCTTGAGGTATTTATGATAATATATACTAATTCTTGAAGTAAAATTTCATGCATTTATCTTTTTGTTTCTTTATTTTCTCAAATGGGGTGGATGTGTAAAACAAAAAAAGACGAGTAACACTAATAATGTGTGAATGTAGCAACTCACTATGTATTTTTATTGGACTGAGATGACTTTAAATAATCATGTATAATGTACCAGATTAACAAGAAAATAACTTTTTAATAAATATCTAGCAGCAGAACAAAAATTTACTTGCGATATCTCAGCAATCTATCAAAACAAACTAACCAAATAACTGCAGACTCATTAAATTATAGAAACCACCCTCGTAATTTAAGATTATCTAACAAAACACCCCTATAAGCTTAAATATTTCATTCTTTTATCCCGAATAACTTCCTTAACTCCAGAAATTTTGTTGTGGACAATAGTTTTGTAAAGATATCAGCTACTTGCTCTTTACTTCCTACATGTTTGACCTCCACGCTTCCTTCTTTCACCTTCTCCCTGATGAAATGAAAACGGACGTCGATGTGCTTACTCCTTTCATGATTGATTGGATTCTTGACTAACTCGATTGCCGACATGTTATTTACTCGGATCAATACTTTCTCAGCTTTCATAATCTTCAGTTTGCTTAACAAATTTCTAAGCCAAACTGCATGTTGGACACTCCAAGATGCTAATAGATACTCAGCTTCACACGTTGATAGAGCTACGATCGGTTGTTTCTTTGATAACCACGTGAAAGTCGTGTTTCCCATGAAGAATACGTACCCAGTTGTGCTTTTTCGATCATCCATATCTCCACACCAATCACTGTCCGAGTATCCAGTAAGTTGGTAGTTGTCCGACTTAGTGAAACACAGTCCAAATGACATCGTCCCCTTCACATACCTTAGTATCCTCTTTAATGCTTTCCAATGAGAATATCTCGGATCCTCCATAAAACGACTTGTAATTCCCACACTTAGCATTAGGTCAGGCCTTGTACTTGTCAAGTACCTTAGACTTCCAATTAGGCTTCGGTACCTGCTTGCATCAACTCTTTCTCCTTCTCCATTTTTAGATAACTATGTTCCAAGTTCCATGGGAGTAGAAACTAGATTGCATTTCATCATCTTTGCCTTGCTTAAAATCTCCTCGGCATACCTCTTTTGGGACACAAAAATACCTTTCGTGTTTTGGTCCACCTCTAAACCAAAAAAGTACTTCATAATGCCCAGATCGGTCATCTCAAACTCCCTATTCATCACTTCTTTAAAATCTTCAACTAGCTCATCTTTATTTTCCATAAATATTAGGTCATCTACGTATAGAGCAATAAACAATGTATCTCCTTTGCACTTCTTTAAATACAGAGCATGTTCATACGAACATTGCTCATAACCATTCCTTTTGAAATAGGTGTTTATTCTCTCATTCCAGGCTCAAGGAGCCTGCTTCAACCCATATAGTGCCTTCTTGAGCTTCAATACCTTCTTCTCTTCACCTCTTATCATGTAGCTGAGAGGTTGCTCCACGTAGACCTCCTCCTCCAGAATCCCATTCAAGAATGCAGATTTCACGTCCATTTGTTGTATCTTCCATTCATGTTGTGTTGCTAATGAAAATAGCAATCAGATCGTTTCCATCCTTGTTATGGGTGCAAAGACCTCATCATAGTCAATGCCTTTCTGCTACGAGTCGGGCTTTGCAACGCTCCACCTCCCCATTAGCATTGGTTTTCTTTTTATATATCCACTTCAAACCAATTGGCCGAGCTCTTGTGGGTAGATCTGTTAGCTCCCATGTTTCCTTTTTCTCAATTGAGTTGATTTCCTCATCCATAACTTTCTTCCATCTCTTATTGAGTATGACCTCTTCAAATTTAACATCTTCTGCACCTGTCAATAGACACACTACATGTACCTCATCAGTGGAGTTATAGATGTCCTGCAAACTCCGAGTTTTGAGTTGTACAAGTTCATTGTCTTCCTCAGAATACTCGTTCGTCCTTTCAACTGTGGTTTCTGGGTTCCTCTCAATTATTACCGAGCTCTTTCTCTCAGAGACTATGCTCCCAGAAGACTTCTCCTTCGAGTCATCCCAGCTCCATTCACTCTCTTCATCTACCTGGACATCTCCACTCACCAAAACTTTACCTGTAGCCGGATTATACAGTTTGTAGGCTTTTGCCTTTTCATCATACCCAATTAATACATACTTTTTTCTTCTGTCATCAAGTTTTGTTTTGAGCTGGGCTGGGATATGACCGTAAGCCAAGCTTCTGAAGACTTTGAAATGGTTTACACTCGGTTTTCGTCCACTCCATGCTTCTTGCGGTGTCACACCATCTAGCTTGGAATGCGGGCACCTGTTCTGTATATATACAACACACTGCACTGCCTCTGCCCAAAATTCCTTGGGCATGTTCTTTCCTTTAAGCATGGTTCGAACCATATCAAGGATGGTCCGATTCTTCCTTTCAGCTACACCGTTCTGTTGTGGTGAATATGGAGCTGTGAGAAAACGTCTTATACCTTGCTCTTCACAATACTCCATGAATTTTGCTAATGTGAATTCTCCTCCTCTGTTAGACCGCACTACTTTAATCTGTTTGTTGATCTCTTTCTCCACCATCAGTTTGAACTTCTTGAAAGCCTCAAATACTTTTGATTTTTCCTGTAAGAAATACACCCAAGCTTTCCAAGAGAAGTCGTCTATGAACAAAATAAAATATTTCTTACCACTAAATGAACTACGAGAAATTGGTCCACACAAGTCCTCAGATGTTTTCTGAGCACACACTCTTCACAAAACTTCTTCTCAAGCTCTAAGCCATGTAGTCCAAGTACCGGTTCCTTCCTTGAAAGTTCGGCCAGGCCTCCAAAATTTAAGTGCCCAAATCGAAAATGCCACATCATTGCTTCATCCTTCACGTCCAGCTTCAAACACCTTTTCTGCAGGATGCTTAGCTCTAGTTTATACATTCGATTTTTCTTCATTTCTACCCGAGCTACTAAAGGATCATGTTTGTCCTTCAAATAGAGTAATTGATCCTTCATCAAAACTGAGTTGCCTTTCTCTATCATCTACCTCATGCTTAATATGTTGCTCTTAAGCTCGGGAACGTAGTAGACATCCTTTATTTCTCCAACTCGTCCATCTTTCTGCATATGGTTGATGGTTCCACACCCTTTTACAACTACCTTGGAATCATCCCCAAATGACATGAATCCATCCTTCATCTTGGTGAGTTAGTTGAAGAAACTCTCTTCTCCACACATATGATTGCTTGCTCCAGTGTCCAAATACCAGACCGAGTTGTTTAAGCAAGCCGAATCAAGCTTGGACTCTAACTTCTCATCTAAATTCTCCATGCAACTTAAGTTTAGTTCAACCTCGGATGCACAACTCGGACGTAGCTTGGTCTCCGAGCTCTATGTCATCATCAAAATTCTTACTTCCTCATCTTCTTCTTCTGTGAGAAGGTTCTTCTCTTTCTTTTCACCTTGGTTATCAACTCGATAATACTTTGCTATGTGACTGTATTTGCCACAGTTGTAGCAATTTGTCGATCTGCATTCCTTTGCGTAGTGGTTGTGCTTGCCACACTTATAGCATTCCACCTCCGACCTTGGTTGACTTCCTTGGCTACGATTACCTCGTCCTTGTCCACCTTCATGATTACCTCGTCCTCCATGATCACCTTGGTCACGTCCACCTCGTCCTTGATTACCTCGGCCACGTCCACCTCGTCCTTGGCCTTTGGATCCTTGGCCCTGAGTGTTCCGAGTTCCATTCGAATCAAGTTGCGCTTGTAGTGCTTGAACAAGAGTATCCTCCTTCTTCCTCCTCCTTTGTTCGTGGGCCTCAAGTGACCCAGCGAGCTCTTCCACTGAGAGAATTGACAAGTCCTTTGACTCCTCAATTGCGCATGCAATACTCTCGAAATCATTTGTTAATGATCTCAAGATTTTCTCCACTATCCTATTTGTTGGCATTGGTTCCCCATTTCTTCAGAGTTGGTTAGCCACCTTCTCCACCCGAGTTATATACTCGTATACTTGCTCCTTATCCTCCATCTTCAAACACTCAAACTCTCCTTGGAGAGTTTGAAAGTCGGATCTGTCTGACACGATGGTTACCTCTATGCGCAACCTCCAAAATCTCCCATGCTTCCTTTGAAGACGCAACGTTTGCAACTTCTCGAAACCTGATTCATCCACAACATTGTACAAAAATACAAAGCTGATTTATCCTTTACTCGTGTCTTTTCCAATTTGACAATCTGAGCCACAGATTGGTCTTCGTCCTCCTCGGGTGCTCGGAACCCCTTCTCTACTATGTCCCATAGACTTTGGGAACCCAGTAAGGTCTTCATCTGTAAACACCAATTATCATAATTAGTTTTCTTTGACAGTTGTGGTACAGTCATTCCATTAACTACCTTCGCCATTACTCTCTCCCTTTTTTAAACACACACAGGCACACGCTGTTTTCCTCTCACACTTGGTACTCAGAGCATAAAGCTCTGATACCAATTTGTAAAACAAAAAAGACGAGTAACACTAATATTGTGTGAATGTAGCAACTCATTGTGTATTTTTATTGGACTGAGATGACTTTAAATAGCCATGTATAATGTATCAGATTAACAAGAAAATAACCTTTTAACAAATATCTAGTAGCGGAACAAAAATTTACTTGCGATATCTCAGCAACCCATCAAAACAAACTAACCAAATAATTGCATACTCATACTAAATTATAGAAACCACCCTCGTAATTTAAGATTATCTAACAGGATGCATATAAAATATAAACTTTCCCTTTCACAGTTTCTCAAATGGGGCCAAACAGAAAATGTCACCACTTAACGCAATGTTCATCACACTTGTCCTCTCAACTTATTGTTGGAATTTTGAGGGAAATTTACCGGGGAGAACAATATCATGAGTCTAACCCATACAAGAGATTGATATCTCTCTCAACAAAAAAACCTTAAAGCATTATATTATAGTTTTTAATATTACCCCAATGGATCACACTTTTTTTGCTCAAGTAGGTAATACTAAAGAATTAACGTAGAGAAGATAACATGTATATAAAGAATGTATAAGTTTTCTACATATTACGGTCCATAAATCAGCCTCATGAAGGCTCCATTTAGTAGCCGCTCTAACGTTGGTAACCATCTTCCACAAATAGAAAGCAATAAAGCCAAAATCAAAGAAATGTTCAACTACCAAGTGACCCCATCACCATGCATGCATCTTAATCACATAAATCTTTCTCCAAGAAAAACACTTAACTCACCGCCAAAGTTCACTCCACACTTCATAGTCTGGAATCATATAAATAATGCATATCACTTCCTCAATTCTTCAACACATGTGATAAGCAAACTATATTAAAGACACCAACACTTTTCTTATCTCTGAAATGGCTTCCAAAGCTTCCTTATTCCTTGCACTTGTGGTCATTTCCAATATCCTCATTGCCACAGCAGTTGCTGGAAGCAGCATTGCCAAGAAAACCAACGCACAAGACAAGAAAGAGCCTCAGTTCTTGTTCAAGTCTCATGATAGGGTGTATATTCCAGGCATTGGACCTGTAGCATTTCCTCCTAAATTTCACCTTACACCTCACAATCCATTTACTGGTGGCAATGGAGGAGCTGGAACAGGAGCAGGAGCTGGAACAGGAGCAGGAGCTGGAACAGGATCAGGAACTGGGTCAGGATCAGGATCAACTGGTCGCAGTTATGTTCCAGGCGGTGATGACACTTTTGTCCCAAACCCTGGTTATGAGGTTCCCATTCCTGGCAGTGGTGGCAGTGTTCCAGCACCAGTTCATCCATGAGTTACTCGTGCATGTTTGTAACGCATGCATGCTAGAGGTAGTTCGTAAGGCAGTTATTTATGCTTAAGATTATCTTCTTTTTTTTTTTTTTTTTTTTTTTTTTTAATTTCTAGCCATAGCAATCGATAAATAAGTGGGTCCGTATGCACATTAGTGTGTATATGGTGATCACCATCGACTACCAAGCCTTTCTGTGTTGTCCTTAATTGTATTGTTTGAAGCTGAATTGAGTGTGACGTACGTTTATTTGTTCTCCAATTCAAAGTAGTTGCTGATGAAGGAGTCCTCAAAATAATTTTTCTTTTATGCTTCCAATATTTTGACACCCTCTTCATATCATACCCCACAATTTTATACATCTGTCTTAATTTATGTCTCTTAACTTCTGATATTCTCTTTTCATGCAGAGTTTTTGTTGGCTGATAGATACACTCTATCAGTACCTACCATTTTTTTTCCTATTCTATTATATCACCTTTTATGCCTACACTTTTCTCTCTTTTAGAAAATAGGTGCTAATCATAGAATTGAGTCCACTTTCCACCAATCTTTATCCTTGTTCATTAGTTAGCCAGTGGGATTGTATTACAGAAATGGTGTCAAATAATTATCACTTGCAAAAGCACGAATATAGGATTTAAAATCTATATCTTTATACTTTATAGATTAATGGGGGACCACTCAGCACATGGTATATCAATGCAGGCTTTGCATCTAAGTAACAAAGCACACTGAACAAACGTTGACATTGACAATAGCACAAACTGATATCAATCAGAACAAGGACAAGATATTCCCTTGACGTTGAACATATCACGGACATCACGCTTCAAACCAAATAATTGGTCTTCATTCACATACTGTACAGAGAACAAATTAAAACCTTTGCTATGACAACAAACTCATTTATTTTCCTAAACATCTCACATCATAATGAAGACAGAATTAAGGTACAAAAATGCGTAGTAGGTTATGCTTCTCGCATGTCACCAACAACAAAGTAGAAGCAAGAAACACACAAATTCACCTACTGCTCTGCATTCTTAATTATTTTTCAGGAAAAGAAAAACACTTCTGATTTTCAAAAAGATTTTGGTTCTGAACTATTTGGTATATAAAACAATCTAATCAAAACTCAAAAATATTGATAATGTTTCATATAATATTATCAACGCTAGCTAAGTAATAATTTCTCTTTTCCCGTACTATGACAATAGGTTGCACATGTGACCAAAGTTATCAGCATTTCAAAAGGAATCCTTATTCCAAGGGGTCACCATGACATCAGGTTACATCTCTGCGATAAAATCAACACATTTTTGCTATGAAATTTTAGCTGTCATCCTTCTTTATCACTGTCAAGGTAAAGATGATACTGGTAGAAAACGGTATGCATGGTTAGCAAAGTTGACTTGATCCTGAATGTAAGAACGGACCAGATGTAACATCAAAGAAATATTGAGTTATGTAAGCTTTGGAATTTCACGACAGAAATTCCAGTTCATAAAATCATGATTTTCTGTTATACAATTCAAATTTAATAATATATTGAACTGCAGCAAATTCTGGTCTGTACAACATCAATCCTATGTCAGATGTGAAATTCAATTACATAGGCTTTGAATTCTCTTTTGTCTAGGTTGTTCTGATCATAATCTATCTATTTTTTCATCTCGTTTTTACCTTTCTATTTTAATTGTATAACGTCTCTCATTTTTCTCTTTTTCTTTCATTTTCTATCTGTTCCTCTCTTCCCTCTATTCATACACCTTAAAACTAGACATTTTCCATTTTCTTTTCTGCATTATGATAACTTATTGTCAGGACAGATAAACAAAAAGTAAATGTAAGACTCTGAAAAAAAAAAAAAGTCCTATCATAATCATTTTTATATATTTCTCACTGGTATTACATGACAATTCATGTTAACAAATAACATGAATGCATCTATATCAAATTAGGTAATGTTACAATACTTAAGAGCTGCAACTGGGTAACTAATTTGATAATGTCACAATCACCTGAAAATATGAGTATACTAGGGGTATTAAGGGTGTTGAAGAATCCTCCCTATCCAAGTATGACATGCCAGAATCAGATCAAAACTGCACATGCCACAACCTTCCAGGTTTGGAATTAGATCTGCCACACGACATGATACGACTCCTGGAATGTAAGCAATTTCAAAAACTAGAAGAATTCAAAAAGCCTATAAAATTATGAATTTTGATGATTGATTCCTTCAATATAATTAATAAGATTACCAATAATGGCATTAATTGATCCCCAATGAAGCAATGCTTCTTATTGATTAATCAATACCAGTAAAATTGTTTTATAATTGTTCAAAATCTTCCATTGAGAGGGACAAATAAACATTCAAGTCATTCCATTATGTCCTATTTACATTTGCAAGAGCAAAAACAAAAATCATAACAAAAAAGATAACACCCTCTAACATAACATGGAAAATACCCAACACCACAAGAAACAAGCTGTGTATAGGTTATCATTATTGGTAAAAAGAACAAAATGATAATTAAATAAAAAATACAAGCACGTTGACATATATGAGGGAAGAAGAAATCTGATAAACGGATATATACAGACACAAGAGAGCTTCCCATATTTAAAATTTTGAACAGACACCAAATAAAAAAGAAGAGGGGTAGGTACCTGGTTTCATGTAAAATAAAACATAATGTTGGTTTTGTGTGGTTGGAGGAATTAGATGTTGACAATTTTGAAGATGATGAAGCATAGGAAACCCAGAAAAATAAAGAGGAAAAGGTAATCAACAAAGACAAAGAATCTGGTGGATCCATGATTCCTCTTCTTCTTGATTTTGGCCTCGGAATTGTCTATTTCTTCGAGCTTCGCCATTGATTCGAATTGCAGCCTCGTGTCAGGACAGAACTATTTATTGAATCTCATAAAACGAAGAATCACAATAAAAAAATAAAAAAAATAATTCCATATATTCTATTCCCGTATCTCATTTTTATTCTTGGATTATCATAATGTGCGTAGTGCGCTTGTCAAGATTTTTGCATTTTGTTCCATCTCAGTTTTTTTCTTCTCTGCATTCAATTGTTAATGTGGTAATGATTAACATATTATGTATATTATTGAAAATATTCATATTATACGTTAATGTTAATTACCATATTTAATATTGATGAATTATTGTTAGTGTTAAGTTTGGTAATTGTTATTATTAAAAATATATATAATATAATAATGATATAGTTTGGGTTTTTCTATATTGATGACTTGTAATAGATGGGCAGTGTATAGGACCCTCCTATTTACATCTTGTTTTTTCCTCTTCGCACCACCCATCATTTCTTTTACATTCTTTTTAAAATATTTTTAATGGAAATTGATTTTCATGTATATGACTGAACATGGAAGTCTTGGTTCTGACAAATATTTGAGATATGAAGATGCTAATTTACACTACACAATGAAATCTACCAATTGTCTTAAAATTTACATTTATAATTTATAGTTGTGTAGATTGACCCTCTCATGAGATTATTAAAATCTTATAAGAAACACATCATTACCATCAATTAACCATAATACCACAAATTTATTTCTAATTGAAAATAAAAATGTGAAATTATATATTATAAATAAATAAATATTTAATTCAAATCTATAAAATCAATTTAAAATATAAATTTTGTATGTAAGATTTGATTATATCAAATCTCTAACACTTCCTTAATGTTTCAATTTGACCCTATTTTTAATCAATAAAGAATATCTAATCCATGTATTAAATGTTTAAAATAAAAATGATGCAATCCATTAATCGAATATTATTTTTCAATACCTATATTAAGATATTCTTTTCTGTTAATTTTACAAAATTGATCATTTGAGGAGCTAATATATAAACAAGGACACAATGCAAAAGTTTATCATTGATTTGCAAACTTCTTACATTTCTGACATTCCAACTTTGAACTTGTAGTCTTAACATTGAGTTCAATGTCATTTCTTGATCGTACTCCATGTTTTCTGAGATATCAAGAAATGACATCTTCTGTCTTTCATATTTAAGATCAACAAGAGTTAACAAATCTGTAGGTCTTATTTTGATATTTGTCCTATTCATCTCACTATACAAATTCCCCTATTTTGTGATTTTTAGGTTCGTGTAGAATATTTGAACCAACTCATCATAATATTCTGAATTTAATATACAAAATTATGTCACTCCTTGAAACCGAATATGGTTATGGAAGTGTAATCTTGATGTGACAAAGAAGGGGAAATTCAATACCTTTGGACTTAAAACTTTGTGCCCGTTAAATAAGTTATTATATTGTACTATTTGTTCATGTGTACTGAATTAACGCGTAAGATTTAAGACATTCTCAACCTCAATTTCCTACTGAGGATCTCTATATTCAGAAGCAACACCTTTTCCTTTTTTGCCCTTATCACTTCGATGTCTTTTTGATGAGGAAGTCAAGTATACAATATAACGAAAAATGATGATTGTGAATGGAAGACAAAATATAATACATATTACAATTAATGATAAGTTGTAAATATGACTAATTCATAACATAAAATGCAGTTAAAGTAGATGATATAAATAACAAAGAAATTTTTCAATACACATTTACATTTATATAAGCTACTAAAATAGTTCTCAATCAAATTTCAAACAAATCAACCCTGATTTCTTGATATCATCATACTAATTAATTTGTTTATACAACAAGAAGTTGACATCCCAAATACACGTTTTGTGTGCAATGGATGCGCACACAAGAAGTCGTAACATTGGTCCATCACTTCTTCTTCACCAATTCCCATGTCAACTAATAACTACTAGATGTCAGTCTCGGAATGTGAAAGTTTGCTTTTCTGCACAATAACTCGTTCCTATTTTTAGCGATCATCACTTGTTTTTCTGCATATGTGGCCAATCTGTTAGAAATATCGTTGCCTCTACCAATTACTTCAACGACAACATCTAGTTTGGTATTTAAATTTTCAAGCTGGGTCTCCACCACATATATCATTGAGGCCTTCCTTTTTTAGTTTCAAGAAGAAGATGTACCACTGGATAGGATAAGATGATGTTGGTGTTGGGTTATGTGAATCCACACATGGGGGGAGCTGAGGAACATATTTTGCTAAGCCATGAAATATCAACGCATAAACAACAATACAAAGGATTATCATCGCTACTATTTCTTAAAAGTTTTATTTGTTGTTGTAAGTATTCAATTAAATTAAAGTCACCACCAAAAACATCATTACCAACATCTTCATAAACAAAAACCTCTTATTAATCGCTATGATATACCATTTTACAGATCTTTAAAAATATATATTGTATAAATTATATTCTCAAATAAGTAAAAAATAAATATGAATTATAATATTAAATTTTTTAAACTATCAAATATTTTATTATTCACCTTATATTTCTAATTACTATAATTTAATACAAGAATAATTCTAATAATTTAATATTAAATTCACCTTACATTTCTAATTACTATAATTTAATACAAGAATAATTCTAATAATTTAATATTAAATTAATGCAGAATGATTAAAGTTTTATTATGCTATTAAAAAAAATTCAACATTTTATTAATGTTGGCCGCCAAATATAACTTTTTTTTATTAATGATGTTAAAATTTTTGGAAACTTAGTTTGATAAAATATTTATTAAAACTGGATCCAAAATCCAGGAAATATATCTTTTTGGACTATGCTCGACAATGTGAAAGTGTATTAAAACTGGATTCCCACCAGGTTGTTGTTAGTAGAGATGTAGTTTTTACAGAAAATGAATTGTAAAGCGAGCAGACAAATTACAACTTAACAAAGGACAAGATTATAGTATAGATAGAGAAGAAGTCTTCGGATGACTCGTTTGAGTCAAAAGAGGAGCATGAAGATTAAGAGTCAAATGAGGTTGGTAATGGAGATCTTTGGTGATTAACACGAGAAAAAGTCAGACCATCTTGGCATTCACTATATGTGATGACAAATCATGATGCATATTGTCTTCTAAATAAAGAAGGAGAACCTTCAACTTTTCAAGAGACTATGAGTTATTTAGATACTTCTCTGTGGATGACTGTAATGCATGAAGAAATTGAGGCTCTTCATAAAAACAAGACATGGAATCTTGTGGAACTTCCGAAAGGTCGGAAAATCATTGGTTGCAAATGGGTCTATAAGATCAAGAGAGATGACAATGATCAAGTAAAAAGATATCGTGCTAGATTGGTGGTAAAAGAATATACTAAGAAAAAAGGTATTGATTTCAATGAGATATTCTCACCGGTTGTTAGATTAACATCCATTAGAGTTGTCCTGACTATGTATGCTACATTTGATTTACATCTTGAATAATTGGATGTAAAGACTGCTTTTCTTCATGGAGATCTTGAAGAGGAAATTTATATGCTCCAACTATAAGGCTTTAAAGAACAGGAAAACTTGGTTTGCAGGTTGACCAAATCTTTATACGGTCTAAAGCAGGCGCCTAGATGTTGGTATAAGAAATTTGATTCCTTCATTATTTGTCTTGGTTACAATAGATTAAGCTGAGACCATTGTACATATTATAATAGGTTTGGTGACAATGATTTTGTTATCTTGTTGTTGTATGTGGATGACTACATGTTGGTAATAGGCTCCAACATAGATCAAATCCAAGAGTTAAAGGCACAATTGATTAGAGAGTTTGACATGAAGGACTTGGGACCAGCAAATAAGATTTTAGGGATGCAAATTCATAGAGACAGAAAAGATAAGAATGTTTGACTTTCTCAAAAGAATTACTTACTGAAAATCTTGCGATGCTTCAACATGCAAGATTGCAAGCTAATTTCCACCTCACTTCCTATTAATTGTAAGTTATCCTCAAGTATGAGTCCCAACAATAAAGCGAAGATGATGAAAATGTCTCGAGTACTGTATCCATCAGCAGTGAAAAGTCTTATGTATGTCATGATTTGTACAAGACCAAACATTGTACAAGCAGTGAGAGAAGTTAGTAGATTCATGGAAAATCCTAGTGGAGAGCATTGAAGTGTTATAAAGAGGATCCTTAGATACATCAAAGGAACCTCAGGTGTTGCATTATGTTATGGAGGATCAGAACTAGTTGTTAGAGACTATGTTGATTCAGATTTTGCAGGTGATCTGGATAAAAGGATATCTACTACTGGTTATGTGTTTACAGTTGTAGGAGGGACAGTTAGTTGGTTATCCAAGTTACAAGATGTTGTAACTCTATCTACCACAGAAGCTGAGTACATGTCGGTCACCCAGACATGTAAGGAAGCTATTTGGATTAGGAAGATAATGGAGGAACTCGGGCACAAGCAACAACAAATTGTTGTATATTGTGATAATCAGAGTGTCTTGCACATTGTAAGGAATTCAGTCTTTCATTCCAGGAAAAAACACATAAGAATAAGATATCATTTTGTTTGGGAAGTAGTGTAAGAGGGTAGTGTGGATATACAAAAGATTCACATGGATGAGAATCTAGCAGATGTTATGACAAAGTGGGTTAGTGTTGACAAATTTGTATGAGTCGATCCTACTATGACCTAGCGGAAAAATAAGCAACATGGATGACAAAAATTGATTAATTTTAATCAAAATCTTCAAGTGGGAGATTGTGAGAAGAGAAGTCTCACACTAGACAAATCTTACTTTGGTGCTTATTTTTCTTACAATAAAAGGAACACAATATTTACCTTGTAAAAAACACCAAAATCACTTCCTTTTTTTTCTCTTGTTGCTTTAATACTTGAGAGATAAATTAAGAGAAAAAAAATAGATTCTCCTTTTAGGTTCTATTAGAGTTGTTTTTCCCTTATTTCTA